TATTGTATTTTAATTTTATTGTTTATGTTTTGTTTATGAAATAACTGTTGAATGATATTTCAAAAAGAATAGATTATAACATTCAAAATTTAACCACAAATTAGTTTAATATGTAAATTATGTAATATGAAAGTATGTATCATTTGAACTATCATAATAAAGGCAATATTTTTTAAATAACCATATAAATGAATTATAATTATATAAATGATATTTGTAATATTTTAATTAAATAATTATAACTGAATAGAACCGAGTGAGATTGTGATATTGTACGATTTTAATATTAAAAATACATATTATTCATATAAGATAATAGAATAAACATTATTATAAATTGATTTATCAGTTATTTAATATAATATTCATTTTGTAACAATAATAAATATGGTAAAGAATAGAAAAAAAAAATAATAAATTAATAGAATTACATTTATTCTTCACTCATTATCTTCATTTAAACAGTTATCAAGTTCATTTGAATTGATTGAACATTTCATTATTCTAACAATTATATAATGATGTTTTCTAAAAAAAAATTAGAAAAGAAAATAATATCATATTAACAAGAATATCAATTTGAAATATAGAGAATGTACATGATAATTCACTTGTTATTAAATTAATTAAGATACATCATTTTCAAAATATAATAAATCAAAATGATTTAAAATTTATTTATGCGAGAGGAATATTAATAATCAAAAATTAAATGAATTTATTCATTATATATGTATATTCATATTGTAAATAATCTAAATTCATATAGTAATATAAAAAACAAAAATAACTATTTGTAGTGATGATATAGTATTAGTAAATATAATGATTGTATAAATTATAAATATAATGAATAATAAAGAGAAAAATTATAGAGTGAAATAAATATAATGATAAATAAAAATCAATCATTATAACGTCAAATTTAAATTATTAAAGGAATAAATGAACATTTTACTAATAATTTAATTAAAAATAAAACTTGATATTTAAGATTAATTTTATAAACAACATAATCAACACAATAAAAATAAAGAATAAGTTGTTCTATTTGAACAAACAATATCAATACATTTCATAACTATAAAAATCTTGAGGACAATTCAACTAATTTTTTAATTAGTAATAAATATTATGCTTCTTTTTGTAAAAAGAAATTTAAAAACCCATTTATTATAGCAATTATCATTACTAAAGAAATCAATGAGCTTAAATCATTTGAATTTAGTCATTGTGTTGGATTAAGGAAAGTGGAAATACCAAGTTCAGTTAGTAAAATTGAAAAGTATTGTTTCAAGGATTGTAAGAAATTAGAGTTAATTGGATTACATGAAGGTATTGAATATGAAAAAGGATGTTTTGAAGGGTGTGAAAAATTAAGAGAAGTGATAGAAATGGACAGTTCGTTGTTTGAGAAAATAGCAAAGTGAAAGAAGATTTTTATAAATTGAGTTTTTGAATAAATTTGAACTGATTTTCAGAAAATAAGAAACAAGATGAGTGAAAGACTTTCATCATTTGATCCAATCATCCCATCAAAACCTTTAATCCTCATTTTAGGATCAATGCCAGGTACTGAATCACTCAAAAAACAACAATATTATGGACATCCACAAAATTGTTTCTGGTCAATTATTTCATCAATAAAATCAATGGGGAGTGTTCCACCACGATATGAACAAAGAATTGAACTAATAAAATCATGTCAAATTGCATTATGGGATGTGTGTTGTCAATGTGAACGAAAAGGTAGTTTAGATAGTGATATAAAAGAGGTAAAACCAAATAAAATAAACAAATTATTACTTGAACATCCAACAATTAAAACAGTTCTTTTCAATGGTCAAGGACCTTCAAAACTTTATCATAAATTCTTTAAAGAATTACCTAATATTAAATATGTCATAATGCCAGGTACAAGTCCTGCAAATGCACGTACTAAAAAACAAACTAAAATTGAAATATGGAAAAAACAAATGTTTGTAATATCAATTTCAAATAAACAAAACACATTAACCAATAAATAGACTTCCCTTAATTCAAAAGAAGAATAATA